TGCGTTTCTCGCTGGCCAACTTTGAAGCGAAGGGTAGAGAGCTCGCGCTCCACGTCGTTCCGTTTCCGTACCTCTTTAAGGCTGGAGTGAAGTCAACTTTCCGAGGGAGGGGCAGTCGAGATGAATGTGACCAATGACGGCGGTTCCTCGGAGGTTGCAAAAAAATTAAAAGTTCTCTGGTCCGGCTCATTACAATGCAACGATTTTGAGTGACCTGAGCAGCCACGATCATTATGACGACAAGTGAGGAAACATTAATTGAAAAGACAAAGCTGCTTTGTTCCTGTTCTGAAGCGGAATCTTCTAAGCTCTCTTGTGCTGCTCAATTTGTGGACGCACGAGGAACCTCCCCTTCCTGCCTAAACAAAGCATGCCCATGCCTCCAGGTTGAAAGGTGATGAAGAACCGACCAGAGTGCTGATGTATTCGTGTGTATGCCCTGGCCCATCACTGTGCACTCGAACGGCATGCGTGTAAAGGTGCACACATCCAGCGGGCCGACGTGCTTGAGTGCAGATGCTGCGTGGCAGGCTGTGCTCGAATGTCTCGTCCGATGCGTACAGCAAGAACAGATTGCAGTAGGCATGCAGTAGTTGCTCGGGTTTGTTTGCCTAAACAAACCAGAGCGGCGTCCAGAAAAATTTCTTCTCGGCAGACGCTTCTCTTCCTTAGACAGAAAAATAAGCAACTACACATAATAAATCTCGAACTTAATGGGTGACCTAGAAGGAAATTTTGCTCTGCGAGAGGTGCCAGCCTGTCTGTGAGTTAATCAGCTATGCAGCTATGGTGGTGAAATTATTTTTCCCTCGAGAGCTCAACAAAAGATTGCAAGGATGTGTTTCACTTCTCAAGTATGGTGCTCTCCGACTAGACATGGTGTTAACAACAAGCTGAAATTGAAGCTTGGGCTAGTTGGTGTGACATTTTCAAGAGGTTAAAACAACGCAAACGACGAGGGACGAGAAGCAGAAGGACACATACACAGCGTCCTTCTGCTTCTCTCCCCTCGTCGTTTGCACTGTTTTAACCTTTAACAACAAGTTCCACATTCAGGAATATAGCAGACGACGACCCTGACAGCAGCCATTGACTCCTTCCCAAAGGAAATCACCAGATGGCTCGTTTTCTGTGCTCGACATGCTGGAAAATAGTCTCCGGACAGCGGTGCGCCGAATAGGGCAGTGTTGTTGCTTGCAACAGTCGCAAAGAATTTTAAAAGCCCTTTTGTGAAGTGCTCAGGACAGGTTTTTAATAGCACCGCCCCTGTTACAGTCTTTAACGTCGATGCTCTCGTCCGTAAGCACCGCGATTTCTCTTCGCCCTTGCTACTCGGTGTTGGAATGAGCCTCAACTCAATTCGAAAGCTCAAATCCGTACGACGGGTGATCAAAAAGTTTTGCCTCCTAGGCTGTAACTATTTTATTCAGTGATGAAATTGAAACTTGTCACATTCGAATGAAAGTTTTGAATCTCCTCTTTTGCAGGAGCACACAACTTTTTAAGTTTTGTGCTCCTCATCAGTGGCGATGCACTTGCGCTACCGGTGCACTTTTATCCGCAAGCTGTCATAGGTGACTCAGGGTGGCAGTTGATGACACCAACGGCACACTACATCACTAACCTCTCTGTTGGACGCAAACGTTGTACCCTTCAGATGTTCCTTTATAAAAAACAGCCGAAAGGCAGATGGCACGAGGTCCAGGCTATAAGGTGAATGAGGCAAAACATCTTGGAATTGCGGCTCCTCCGGCGCGGCGTCGGTCTCGTCAACAGTTGCCCTCAATCATCTACGACAACATACGGAGGGTAGTGCACCGGTAGCGGATTGCCGCCGGTGGGGGTCTTCTGAAAAGTTATGTGCTCCTGGGAAAGGGTAGATTTCAAGCTTTCGTTCGAATGGAACATCCTTTCAGTTCCATCACTAAATAAAAAAGTTGCAGCCCACGAGGCAATACTCATTGATCACCCCCCGTATTACGTACCTTTGTACGGTGGGCTTGCCGTTTTGTACGCGGCTATTAAATACGCTTCTGGGCAATTTTCACGACCGTAACCATTTGATATCAAAAATATGTAGGAACCATGTTTGAATACAAACAGGGAACCGTTAACGCTTTTCAATTTAAAATGATAAGACGCGTGACAGATGACAACGACAACTAGAGTGGCTTCTGCGAGAAAGACAGAGAAGTACTTCTTCTCTGTCTTACTCTCACTTAGTATTAAAAGCCAGTTGTGAGTAGCACTCTATCCTGTCTCTACGTTCTTCCTCCCTCGTCTTTGCACTAATTTTACCAAGATGTAGAGTCAACTATACTCATTTGCGCCTCAAGAAAAAAGGAAGTTTTGCGCGGTTTGTACGCAGTGCGAAGTATTTCTTACAAAATTTGGTTGGCACAAGGAGCGATACATTGGGCATTTGAAACGTTTACGTCTTGATAAGGTAACATATATCTAATCTAAAATTAGATATATGTTACCTATGGTTCTTGGGCTGAAAATGAGCATAGCCGTCCAGATGATTTTAATACGGGTATTTTCGACTTTGAAAGAATTTGCAGCTTGTAATTTTTACAATCTGTATCTTAGAAAAAGGGATAAAAAGCATAAGTTGGTTCTTTAAAATGTCCCAATTCCACTGCATAACAGCAAACCAAAAAAGACAGGAATGTTTTGCGATTTGCAACCACGAGCAGCAGCCATGGGAAGTATGGCGCCACGTCAGTCTGAGTGCCTCGTAATAAGTGGTCAAGATGTGCCTTTGTCTGCTTAATATAACACCATGTTTCATCAGTTTTGCCGTTTCGACATGAATAAATGCATCAAAAGCCTCGTATCCTCAACACAATTTTATTACGCTCTGTTGGTAACGCCATCCCTCTAAGGCACACAAAACCATTCTGTCCGCTCTGTCAAAGCACTGCTACCAGGATGTGCGGGCTGCCTACGCTCTCCGTGCTGGCTTTGCTATTTTGTGGCTGAATCGGCGCCGCTAGTGGCACCGATTCAGGCACTAAGGCACACAAAACCATTCTGTCCGCTCTGTCAAAGCACTGCTACCAGGATGTGCGGGCTGCCTACGCTCTCCGTGCTGGCTTTGCTATTTTGTGGCTGAATCGGCGCCGCTAGCGGCACGGTTCGCGATATTTCGTTTGACATTTCTTGACCATGAGCATTTTCCGCGACTGCAATGCCCAATGTTGCTTGCAGCAAACGGATGCGCGCAATGGGTTTCAGCAGCTTTCAATGACCCCCTCAATGCCTTATTTATTGTCTCTAAAACTTTATTTTATTTAATTAAAAAGAAACGGGCCAATTATACACTGACGAATACCCTTGGTTTGACTTTGCTCAACACATTTTAGAAGCTCGTTATCTCAAACACATTTGATCTGTTCATCAGGAAATTTGAATGAACACATTCAGACAGAAAAGGGAAGATGAAAGGGGTACACAACCTTACAAGGACCGTTCACTGAGCCTAGACACACTGGCTAAACCCCTCCAAGGCTGAACACACCACTGCATCAGGAGATGGGCAGAAAGGGAAGGATTCAATCAGATCGACTGTGTATTTTCTCCGTGCGTCGTCTGCTCGAAATGTGAAAACGCCGTCCTATGAAAAAGCTCTCTCACAGTGTTTCTCCTCCTGTCACGTGATTCCCCGCCGCAGTGTGAATGGTCAGCGACTTTTGCCACTCCGCCGCTCTGCCAAAGGCTCAAAGTAGGCAGGAGGCATGCGAAGATTTGGGAAACAGAGTTTTCTTGACCCTCCAAGTGTGCATATTGTATTATAATAACCAGAACAATGAGCTTATTAATTTCTATCGATTTGCTCTGTTTTTTCTTTATTCAAGCTCAGTTATGCTTGGCGAATTGTTTCACTTCACAGTTGTTATCAGTAGTTTTGCAGCATCGTCCACAGAATATGTCAGCTGCAACACTGCTCCTTTTGACTGTCCCAGTTGAGAGAAGTGCAGTGTTGCAGGGAACGAGCACTTGGTGGTTGCACAATGAGCCCAAAATTTCAATGGGAAATGGGGCCTGTATTTACACGTTTTCGGTTCCTGGTGCCAGAGAGCTCCTGTATTCAAAAGTCAGTCAATATTTTCCCAATGAAATTCTCACTCGTAACTTTTGAATAAAATATTGGTTTGTGCTGAAACTTTGGCATCTAGTTCGGACCTCTAGTGCCACCTTTGGGCAGAGAAAGAGCGTTCGGCGGTGCGCACCTAATTTTTCCAGGGAAAAAAAACGGCGTAAATATTTTTTGGGGACAACCTGTACCTCTGTGAGGTTAACACAGACCTTGGCTATGGTCTAGCTCTCACATGCATTCGCGAGAAATACTGCCGGCCAAAACTCCCATAGTCGGCCCGTCACTACACCCGGACCTCCCGTGAGTGGTAACCTCGGACTACTGCCGGGACTTCTTTGGCCAATCGCACTGCCAGTGGCCCCGCCCTGCTCCAACAGATCGGTATGGGTTTCCTTGGTCCACACCCAACGTCGATCACGAAGAACCGGTGGATTATCACGGCTGTAGACTAACTGACTCGATAGCCGAGACAAGGGGCTGCCTGTTTGGGACTGCTGCGCAATCTGCCAAGTTCTTTTTTGAATCTGTCAATCTCCGGCACAGTGCTCCAGAAGTCCCGATCACTGACCGTGGGTGTGTCCTCGTGGCTCAGCTAGCACGAGAGACTCCTCAATTAAATCACACCAGCCATCATGGAACAACTGCATATAATCCACAGACATGGGCTAACTGAGAGGCCTAAGAAGACAATCGCTGACACGATTGAAATGCCATGTACGTAGACTTGTGCGAGGAGCAGGGGCCCTCCTGCTGGCTCTGCTTGGAGGGAGAGACAATCATTTCTGCACATTCTCATCTCCTTCCTCAGTCTCGCACCGTTTGTTGTTTTGAGAATGATCTAAGCTCTGCCTGGTCTTTCGAGGAATCACGCAGATATTCTTATGGTCCTGCCACCCACCTGATGAGAGAGCGGGTGCTGATGTCCCAGATGATGACGGTCTCGTCGTCGCTGCCCGTCGCCAGGAGGGCCCCCGAGGGCGAGAAGCTGCACGACCGGATCGCAGCCGCGCTTGGGTGCTGCAGCTGTGCCATCATCTCCCCCGTCTGCAATCACGAGGACACTTTTAGGCAAATTTAACTTGACAAGGCACATTCGATTCAGTTACACTCTCTGCATTAGTATGGCCTCAGTTTACACTACCTTACTCAATTCAAGAGCCTATCTTCAAACATATAATGGACCTTATGTAACACAGCCAATCTTTGAGGATATAATAAACTTGAACCGACGAGGCTACTCCTTCTGTACCGGTGTAATTATAAAATAAGCCTATTGTATAGCCAGCTACTTGTTGGCAGGTTTAAATTAACTGTCCAGAGCCACAACAGATGCTGTTCCTAATACCTTAGGTGTGTGGTCCAGAAGCTCTGCTGTCATGCTGCGGGAGAGTTTTTTTCCCCAGGAACATACCGATCAGCCGCGGGCGTGTCCTCGGCACTGCGAGGCCAGAGCCACATGCTGGGAGAGTTTGGCAGTTTGGATGCGGATACAAAGTATGCAGATGTGGATAGGAAGCAAATGTTCAAACTGTTATCCGTGCAGGGCTCCAACTTTAAAGGGGCCCTGCAATCATATTAAGCATCTACCTTTTTAGCGGTCTCCACGTCTCTTGGGGTTGGGGCAAGCCAGCGGGCACGGAGAGAGTAACTAAATATCATTGCGTCATATTTTAACCGGACGACGCGGAAACCTCTTCCACCGACGAGGGCGACCCGCGGTACCAAAAGCGCGCAAAATGTGACGTCTTTGGTCCTGGGCTTGTCACAGGTCAAAGCCGCTAAGAGCTTTTTTTTAGTCGAGATACAAAATATACGTGCCGCGAACCGTTTCAATTATGTATGAAAGTAGTTTTTGTTCACTATTTTAGATCAGAAAAGAAACAAATGCAGTTTAGAAAGTACGGAAACGAGAAATGACCCGTCGACATACCCGCCACCAAGCGGCAGAAAAAAACGGCGCATACTAGAAAAGGTTAGTGGGATGAGGCTACGACAAACGAGGAGCGTAGAAAGGTCCCGGATGTACGCGGCGGCGCTGTGGTCGTATATTGGCTCAAGAATCCGACCGGTTCTGAGCGTTCCGAAAACCTTCGGCGCGGGCCCTGTTGGCGATTTGGCCATTCGGCGGTGCGTCAGCGCGAAGTAGCTCCCGTTCTGAACTGATCTTTACCCCGTGTTTGCTGTCGTTTGTAGCCAATGAAATGTTAGGCCGAATTAGTGTTTAGTCGCGCTGCAAATGCAATACGAGCTGCCCTGGCCGCCCGCTTCATACAGCCTATCCAACACGTGCTTTAGTGGCGCCCTCTCGAGCCGTCGACACGGAGTGCGGCAGCCATGTGCGCTCGATAAGCTCACTACTCCTCCTCTAGTTCAAGGCCACTCAAGGCAGGACCTACGATGTCATGAAGGAGGTTATTTTTTGCTTGTTTTTGTAATTCTAATTTGCCTATAACTTTTAAAATAAAGCGAAATTTGAGAAAAGAAAAGTTGGATTAAGTTACTACGTTCAGTACGCTCAGGTTCAGTGCAAATTAAAAACCAGTCCTTTTGCTAGTTACAGAGAGGACCGGCCACACTTATTTGGCCGAAGTCCGAAAATTGTTTCATGGGCCCTTTAAGTGTGAGCTCGTACCGAAAATGTGTGGTTAACAGTGCGTTCAAATATGGCATCCGGTGAATACCCTCTATACATGCTTTGTGCTGACCCACATGATCCATTTCGCACCACCAAGGAAGAGAGAGAGAGAGGGGGAAGCTGCTTTTGTATCAATTTAGAGTGACGTGTTAATCTTCTAGAAGGAGAATAGCGACGTCTGAGACACACCTAAGAAAGTCCCAGTGAGAGGGGAGTTCCTCCTTCCCCTCTTCTCTGCTGGTGGCCGGAGAGCTGACGGAATGAGGTCAGGTGCAAAGCATGCTTACATGTTCGTACTGCTACAAATAAATCTTAAAAAGTGACTGACAACTATTCTTTTAGGACCATTTGATTCCTCGTAAGTTTCTCCTAGCGTCTAGTTCTCGCAGCAGTGCATGCTCCGAGCCCACCAGTGCCGATGTCACGAGGCAGACAAAAAAAATTCACGCTTAGAAGCTTCCGTCTATCGTGAAGAGTTGACCTGGCAGAGGTTCGGGTATGGTTGCGGGCTCACCTGGGCGTTCCAGAGCATCACGGTGCCGTCAATAGAGCACGATGCCAGGATGGTCCCGAGCAGCGAGAACTGGACGGCGTTCACCCCGTACTTGTGGCCCGTGAGGGGAGACACGGCGGACTCAACGAAGCGACCGCTCTCGTCCAGATTCCAGATGCGGACAGTCTTGTCGTTGGAGCAGGTCGCCAGCGTGGTGCCCGAAAAGTCGCACCCGTTCACGTCGCCCGTGTGCAGCTCCAGGGTCTGCCTCAGCCTCCACTCCTTGAGCATCGTGGTTGTCGCTAGGGCTTTCGACGTCGCAAAAATTGCCAAGCTGCGTCCGCGCCCGCTGGGTCTCGACTGTCGATACTTCGATTCCAATTATGCCCCCCTCCGTTGGAGAAGCCTGTCTGTTGACGGCTGTTGTCTCTGGCAACGAGTGAGGATGAGTGTGATGCCACCGACCGCAAACAGCGCGCCGTTATTGATAGCGCCCGGGGTGACTCGCGCGGAGCCACAGCTTTCGATCATTTGCAGGGTCCACTAGGGTCTGTGCAAGTTAACCGACGATCCCGAACGAGAGTGGACCTCAGCGCAGAACGCTCTACGAACGTCCGATAACCGAGAAATTGTCTGTCCTTCATTTCAAAGCGGCGCGCCACCAAAATACAGATCAACCTCTGACAGCTGATCGCAGGTTCCAAAACTTCAACTAACTTCAGGCATCGACAACACAGCCACTCGACGGAGTTCCGCGGCAATCACAGCCATTTAGCGCTCCCAGGGCGGCGCCATTTTTGTTTTTCGAACGCAGCGCCCTCTCAACACATCCCGGAAGTTCAGTTCGCCGTTGCTAGGGTCGTTGTTATGGACAAATACATGTGGCTAGGTTTCGCTACAAAAACCCGACCGTTCAAAAATCAGGAGTAGGATTTAAGTTTCTAAAAATCACAGATATAAAAAGCTTGCATGTCATATATGTTTCAACAGAAGTGTGCCAGTAATCGCTTGTTTATGAAATATTTACGACATCAACTTCCGGTCCTCAAGATGCCTGCAGCAGACGACGAATGTAAGAAGTATGCCGTCTGCCACACGCCGGCTGGCCAAGCCGGCGCCGTCGTCTGAATCGTGTGAATGAGTACGATATTCTGATATTGCATTTGTTCTAAATATAATGATTTCCAGTAACTTAATAGAATTAATAGTGGGGTTTGATGCAAAATATGGTGTATCGAAAGTCCGGGCGTCGATCGAGATTATCGTCTGCTAAAAGGTCGCATTGGACCCGTGGGAAAAGCACTTCAGGCGATCGGTCGAAATCCCAAATTTTGTTTGTGGACTCGCGCTATGTGAGGGTGAGTCGTACCTGGTTGTAACCATCGCTGCAATAGTTACTGAAAAAAAACATGGAATTCTTTAATAACCTGACGACCTTAATAATAATAATAATAATAATAAACGAATTACCTTGACGGCGTACGATTTGTTTCTGATACTATCCTGCAACACGCCGGTAGTGCACTTGAGGTCGTCGTCGTAAATGATCTGCATGACATCAGAATTAGTTGGGGGGCTAGTTGGTTGAACATCTAGACGGTGGTTTTAAAAGCGCAAAGGACTAAGAAGAGAAGAAGGGGACAGGACAGAGCGCTTACTTACAACTGTCAAATTTAATAGAGCATCTAGAGAAAGACAAGGTGGAAGTGAAAAAGAAGAAAAGAAAAATGAAATAAAATTAAAGTCACTGCTGCTATTAAGAACATATTTGGTTTTAGAAATCGAAACAAAAATATTTTGACTTCAGCTGAAGGCAAAGTACTTGTCACGTAAAAAAAACTGTCTATACAGCAAAATGAAAAAATAATAAAAATTGAATAGTAGGAAAAAAGAAAAAAACATTACGCAGAGCAACCGGCTAAAGAGTCTCGAGGTAAAACACCGCTAGAACTGAAGTTCTTTTTGTGTTTCAAGTCTTTAGGGCATACACCGAAGGAACTGAAGTTCTTTCTGTGTTAGGGTCACTGATGGGGCGCTTATACACTTGTCGCCACTGGTGAGGATGACTTGAGCCTCGTACAGCTCTCTAATGTTTTTGTCACGGAACCGCTTCAGAACTTTGGTGTTGTTGAATGTTGGTGAGCATTTGCAGTCTCTGACATGTACCGCAAGATGTCCCGATGGTGCTGATTTCAGCGTTTGGGCATGTTCTCTTAATCTCGTCTTGATACATCGCCCCGACTGACCTACATACACTTTGCCGCAAGTAAATGGTATTTGATATATCACTCCACTTTGACATTCTACATACTTGAGTCGATGTTTTACACTGCATTCTTGCTGTTGATGCTGTTGGCAATTGATCTTAGGGCAGAGCCTTTTTAGTTTGTCCGGAGCTGAAAGCACGACTTGGACTTGAAACTTCGCAGCTGTTCTCTTCAAGTTGTGGGACAAGCGGTGTATATATGGCAGAACAGTCGGTCGGTGTTTCTTGTGTTTTTCAGTGTCATGTTTTTTATTTGAGGTCATCAAGGATTCCGTGACTTCATATATTATCGAACTGGGATATCCCGACGCTTTCAGTCTTTGTACTTGAGCATCAAAGCTTTCCCCCGTTGAGTGTACGCAAGACTGGTTTTCTCTGACAACCACGCTTGCTGGATGTATTCCCCTCGATCGAAGAAAGGTCTTTTACAGTAAGATTCGGCTCATTCCAAAATTATTAAAAGAGGAATTGCAAAAAATTGCCTGAATACAGCTCTTAAAAAATCTTGCGTACACTCAACGGGGGAAAGCTTTGATGCTCAAGTACAAAGACTGAAAGCGTAGGGATATCCCAGTTCGATAATATATGAAGTCGCGGAATCCTTGATGACCTCAAATAAAAAACATGACACTGAAAAACACAAGAAACACCGACCGACTGTTCTGCCATATATACACCGCTTGTCCCACAACTTGAAGAGAACAGCTGCGAAGTTTCAAGTCCAAGTCGTGCTTTCAGCTCCGGACAAACTAAAAAGGCTCTGCCCTAAGATCAATTGCCAACAGCATCAACAGCAAGAATGCAGTGTAAAACATCGACTCAAGTATGTAGAATGTCAAAGTGGAGTGATATATCAAATACCATTTACTTGCGGCAAAGTGTATGTAGGTCAGTCGGGGCGATGTATCAATACGAGATTAAGAGAACATGCCCAAACGCTGAAATCTAGGGTGCCTACATGTCTGTCTGTTTAAGGGTGAAGACATCCATTGTTGCCCTGAATGTGCCAGCGCGTGACGCCCTCGCGCACTCGGTGCTTGACTTGGGCGGTAAAATGGCGTCTATGCATTAGCCAAAGCTACGCGCTCGAGCTGAGTGACACCAGATTAGGCGCGCTTCAAAATGCATGAAGAAACGAAAGGCGGGAAAATGGCTGAGATGTCACCACTCAAGCAAAAGCGCGCGTGTGTATGAAGGCACTCTACTGAAATCAGCACCATCGGGACATCTTGCGGTACATGTCAGAGACTGCAAATGCTCACCAACATTCAACAACACCAAAGTTCTGAAGCGGTTCCGTGACAAAAACATTAGAGAGCTGTACGAGGCTCAAGTCATCCTCACCAGTGGCGACAAGTGTATAAGCGCCCCATCAGTGACCCTAACACAGAAAGAACTTCAGTTCCTTCGGTGTATGCCCTAAAGACTTGAAACACAAAAAGAACTTCAGTTCTAGCGGTCTTTTACCTCGAGACTCTTTAGCCGGTTGCTCTGCGTAATGTTTTTTTTTTTTTCTTACTATTCACTTTTTATTATTTTTTCGTTTTGCTGTATGGACAGTTTTTTTACGTGACAAGTACTTTGCCTTCAGCTGAAGTCAAAATATTTTTGTTTCGATTTCTAAAACCAAATATGTTCTTAATAGCAGCAGTGACTTTAATTTTATTTCATTTTTCTTTTCTTCTTTTTCACTTCCACCTTGTCTTTCTCTAGATGCTCTATTAAATTTGACAGTTGTAAGTAAGCGCTCTGTCCTGTCCCCTTCTTCTCTTCTAGTCCTTTGCGCTTTTAAAACCACCGTCTAGATCTGCATGACGTGGTTTGATTTTACGGCAGTTTCACCCTCTGAACTAAGCTGGGTTCTTCACAGAAAAAAACGCACATTGCGGAGGTCTCTACGACGACGGCAATGCACTTGTTTTTGTCGCTTGTTTACCGGCGCAATTGAAGACACCCGCTGCAACAGAGGCCAGCAAATCTATCATGTCGTCTGCTACCAAGGCAAGACGGAGTGTAATACTTCAGAAATTAAATATGCTCACTTTCTGAACCTTCTGAAGTACTGGAAGCACCGTGGCGAGTTTAGAGTGTGCGATGGGCTGCTCCTCAAAGGGAGTCACCTAGTCATCCCGTCGTCGCTTCAAGACGAGGTCCTCCTGGTCATCCACGAGGGTCACCAAGGTGTGAACCGCTGCCGCGCTCGAGCGCGTGACTCTGTACGGTGGCCAAGAATCAGCAAGCAGATCAAGTCTATGGTGCAGAACTGCGAGCAGTGTGCGACTACACGAATCCAACATGCAGAGCCACCTTCGTCCGAGCTGCCCTGGCAGCAGCTGGGAATTTACTTGTTTCAATTTAACGGCCAGGACTTCCTACTGATTATTGACTACTTTTCACGATACCCTCAAGTGATCACACTAAGGAGCACAACGTGCTCATCAGTGGTCGAGGCGGTAAAAAGTGTAGTGGCACGCTTTGGCATTCCAGAGCTCATCCGAAGCGACAATGGCCCGCAGTTTGCTGCTCAGGAGTTTGCCGACTTCGCACGTGACTATGGCTTCAAGCACGTGACGAGCAGCCCGTGCTATCCTCAATCCAACGGGGAAGTTGAGTGCGCGGTCCGGATGATCAAGGGCAGTGGCGTACCAACTTGTTTTTGAGTGGGGGGGCAAACCAGACCCCCCCCCCTTCCCCCCCCCCCCTTCGGGTCGCATATTTTTACTAGAGATGGGCCAAACTTTTCCCGAATCGAAAATTCGGCGCAACTTTTGCCGTCCTTTTCTGAAGATTCGGCAATGATTCGGCAAAAATGCAATATTACCAGACTTAACCATAATATTTAGTTTTTTTCTGACGAAAAAAGGTTAATTTTTTTCTTAACTTTAATACAACATGTAGTGTATGTTGACACAGTTATGACTAAATAAGGTGATATTCTACAAGAGTATCGATGTCGCTTTTGTGTGTTTACTAGCAATTTTAGTGTTTGCTTGCAGAAAGTGGCGTGAAAACAAGGTTGGGTATCCGGCGCAGTCCCGAATAACGCTACGAGAGTTTTGATTTTGAGGCTTCATCAGCGCACTCCTGCAAGTTTGATTACAATGTTAAAATAAAGGCAATCCCTGCGTTTTTACTTTTTCTGGGAGTCACCGTTTCGTGCGCAAAAACAATGCAATGGTTGCTTTGCCTTCACCAGAAGATATAACAATATTGTAAATATGCATGTTTTTCGATAGGAGTCACTTGACGACTGCTTAGCATGAATGTATGCGTTCCATATTCGCAACGTTACGTTTTTAATCTTTAAATTCCAGTTTCTGGTGTTAGGACACACACGGACGTTTAGGAAGTTGGGGAGAGTTAGGAATGTCGGATGTGCAACGTCCAGGGCATGATAGTTTGTTTAATTTTATGCAGATACATGGAAATTGCGAAATAATGCGAACTAAAAAGCAATATTATTCTGTTTTGGCACAAACTACTTGTGAGCTGAAAACAAGATTGTAATAATAATAATATTAATAATAATAATAATTTTATTTGCACATACTGGAAGGGGCCCATGTGGTGGTTTGCGGGGCGAGGCAGATAGGTGGCAGGGGCGGATCCAGACCTCCATTTTAGGGGGGGGGGGGGGGGGGCGGTTCCTCGGTGTAAAACGGCGGGGGGGGGGGGGGGGGTGTTTATATTTTTTGTGGAGTTATCGTCTTTACTGAACTTTGATAACATATTAGAGAGTTTTAGTAGATCGTTCCCATGACTCCGATAACGATACCCGATACTCCGCCACCGCCTCCCTTGCGCATGCATAGTATCGTTATCGGGGCTATCGGAGGTATCGGAACGATCTACTAAAACTCTCTAATATAGATCTTGAGAGCTTTTGCATCGGTTTACCTGTCGGGAATGAACTCTTTGGATTAAAACCTTTCGGGTGACCACGCTAGAGGTAAGTATCTAGAAAAATGTGTTGGCACTATCCTTTCTGAACACCATAACGCAAGGAATTTTGTAGTTCATAGGAAACGGGATTACTCCATTCGCGTGGCAGCGCGCTAGAAATAGAAAAAGAAGTTTAA